GGCCGGAGTCGGCCAGTCAACGGACAGGCGTTGCACAGCCCTTACCCTTGCCCGTGCTCTTGCCTGCGGAACTCGCCAAGCGAAAGGCGCGACATTCAGCCTGAAAGGTCAGGAGACGAGCGGCTCACGTCATGCTGACAGCTCGTGCCCGTGTCCTCGTCGTTGCCCATGCCTTAGCAGAAACATGTGTGGCCGGGATCCAGAGCAGCAGCAGAACGGGCTCCCCAACTGGAACCGGAGGAACAGCAGGCCCCGCAGCAGCACGGCGATCACCTTCAGAATCACCTCGACGATGATGCCCGTCTTCAAGATCACCGTCATCACCCCGGTCGCGACCGGTTTCAGCACCGTTTGCAACGGCGGCCTTGGCAGCCATGGGCGGGGGCCGCGCCAGCGTCACATGCAGGGCAAGCCCGAGGCGGCTAGGCTGGCAGCCACGGCAGTTCTTGGGCGCGAGGTCAAGGAGGGGGCGACACATACTGGGGGAAGAAAAATTGAGCAGGGGCCGACCGTCCCGGCATTCATATAGTCATACCACGAAATGTTCTTAGAACCCAAAAATGTCTAAGAACAAAAACAAGGTTCTTAGAACCTAGACCCGATGTGTTAAAACAAGACAGTCCCAGCCAAAAATGTTCTAAGAACATTTCGCGGGAACCACAAAAGGTTCTTAGAACATTGTTTGGTGGGGCTATACGCGCCCTCTGAAATTCGCCAGCTCGGCGGAGCCGGGAAGCGAGTGCTGCGCAGCACGCGCATGCGCCCGCTGCGCCTTGGCGCGCCGCTCGGCGACCTTGCATTAGAGGGCGCCGCGGGCGACCGGCCACGAAGCACCCAGGGCGGTGCCTCGACCCCTCGGCGGGGGAGGGAACAGGAAGAGCGAGGGAAGGGCGGGAGAGGCCGAGGGCAGCCTCCTGGCGCGGGCTCGAGGGCACGCAGGCAGGCCTGCACCGAGCTGGCGCCAGGAGGAGAGGAGGGAGTAGAAGGCGGAAGAGGAGGAGGACGAAAACAAGTAGGAAGGAGGAGGGGGCGTGAGTAGAGGTGGGGAACCACGCGGTTGCCATGGGCGAGAGGACGGAGGAGGAGGAGGAGGAGGAGGAGGAGGAGGAGGAGGGGGAGGGGGAGGGGGAGGAGGAGGAGGATATAGAAAAAGGGAGGCAGGAGGAAGAGGAGAAAGGAAGGAGGAGGGAGGGCGACGGAGGAGGAACTGCTCACAGGACTGCTCAAAGCCCATCGGGCCGTGACCACCCCACCACCCCGAGGGGCCTATGGGCCAACGCAGTGGGGGTCGGGGGCTGGCGCCCTGGGGGGGATACGCCTGCTTGCGCTACCGTGCCGCCCGACCTTCAGCCGCATATCTGCGGCCCGAACCCCGGGCGGACGCCGCGACCGCTGGGAACGCGCGGCTGGCGCTGCGTTCCCCCCAGCGCCTGCCCTAACCCTGGGCGAGCCCCGCACCCCCCACCCTCGAACGGCCTTTCCCGAAGGCGGAACTCGCCGCCGGAACGGGTTGGCGGGCTTGGCCGGCGCGGCCTGCGTAGGAGCCCAAAAAGCAGATTTGCCGTTGCACCACTCTGCCCGCCCTCCCGCGCACGACCCCGCCGAAGACGGTGAACTCCAGGCACGCGAGCCCCGTGAATTTGACGGGGTCGAAGCCGACGCCGACGATGTCGAACAGGGAAAGCGAGTATTACTCCCAGCCACGATCCCACGACAGATCCAAGCAGCCAACGGGGAAGGCAACCAGTGCTCGACCTTCGGAGGCCAACGCCAAGGACAAAGAAACATGTCACAATCCTTGTGCCATAGCGCTTCCGTGTCCAACCCAGCAGCCTCAACGATGACGACAAGGCCACAGTCACCCGGGCGCTCCAAGTAGGACAGGATGATGAAGACGTCGGTGGCCTGTAACACGCGGGCGACGGCACACGTATCCAGATGGCCTCCCTTCGCAGCAGGGAAGCTGGACGCCACCACAATGAAGAACGCGCTGCTGAAGCCCTAACCATCGCAAGAGTCAGTCTCGCAGTCAGCGTCCGCGACGGTGCCACCACAGCTGGACGTAGGGGCGTCCACGTCGGCGCGCACAGATAATCCCACATTTGGTTCCATGGCACCGAGCCCCAAACTACGAGTGGTTACTGTAGCCTGTTGGGTGTTAGTGTGGCCCTTTGGGTGGGGATGGATGGGTAGGATATAATGGCTGGATGGGATGGCCCACGCTGGCCGTTCAATGAACAATAATTTGTGAAGGTATATCATGTTAGACCTGGAGAGATTCGCAAACCTTGAGGGAATGCCTTCCCGCGCAGGCAAACGAAACCACAGAAACTCCCACATGGAACCAACGTAGTAAAGTCGTGATAGTAGTAGTCGTAGTCGTAGTAGTAGTAACAGCAGCAGCAGCAGTAGTAGTAGTAGTAGTAGTAGTAGTAGTAGTAGTAGTAGTAGTAGTAATAATAGTAGTAGTAGTAGTAGTAGTAGTAGTAGTAGTAATTGT